GCTAGCCATTTTTGTTATGAATCTTCTAACAGACCCTGCTTGGGCTTGCATAAAGCCTTTTTGTTTAGATTAGAGCTCATATCAGGGTAGAAAAAAACAGTGAAATATTTTGTGGCATCCTTTACCTTCTGATTTCTGCAAATGCTAAAGAAAGCAGAAATGCACAATACCGAGGACTGGTATTAATAATTGTATGTGAAATGTTTTAGTTTTATTAGTATGGAAACAGGAAGCTTGGCCTAAAGGTAGTGATAAATATATATGCGTCCATGGTCCCTTCACACATTGAATAAAAATGTGGCTACTAGAATTGCATCCAGTGATTAGTGGACTTATGCCTGCTTCTTCGCACATGCATAAGTGGATAGCTGCTGTGTGAATGCTGCATGAGAGTCCCAACAGCTAAGTGAAAGGCAAAGTAGTAGTGATAAAACAACAGCCACCATGCATGGGGGTTGGTATGTATGGCAGAACCCATGAAATTATTATGTTAATGCTGATTTTGTCAGCATTATGAGCTTTTGTCTCAGCTACTGGTTATGTATTTATTATGCTGTTGTTTATGGTGCCTTTTATGGTGTTGTTAGCTGCCCAGAGTCATGGTTTTGAGATGGGCAGCCATATACATTGAAATAAACACATCAGCCTCAGTAATCACCTCCATACCATTCTTGGCAACTCCACTAGGATGTATCAACTCTAATGCTTTTTGAAACAGGTGATGCCCCCTTGATATCCTTGCAAGGGAGCCATCAGTCATGACATGGCAAAGGCTAGGACATCATATGACTTCATAGAATGTGGGGCACTTCCCTGTACAGCCAGTGGTGGTTTACCATTTACAAGGGAAGCAAATGACACCTACACCTGGTAACTCCAGGGCTCTCTCTCTGTCATAGGTTTGATTCCACTGGCAGCTTAAATGCAGCCCGCAAACAAACCCTTTCATAGGGCTGCAAAGCAGGAAAGAAAGAAGAAATGGTAATCCAACTATAATGTCTATAGCCCAATGTGAGTTGGCTGCAGAAATCCCAGGGCCAACAGAGGAGTCTTTTCTAATTACCATCTGGGCTCAGGCTGTTGGGCATTGTTATTCAATAACATCTAACGGCCTTCGGCCTTCCTTCTTTTAGCCCTGCTTTTGACTCCAGCATGTTAACAACAATTCCACACACAGTGATGAGCCTAACAAGAGTATACTTTTATAAATCACAAATTCCCTTCTGCATATGTGGCTTTGAAAATGGGAATGGTGCATAGACAATTCATTCATGCTTTTAGGTAAGTCTACACTTCTTAAAATGCCTAATGGAAATGGCTGGCTTGAGAATAAGGAGCTATCAAGAACTTGTGGCTAAAAATATAGCTGGCTTTGGGTACTGTTCTGCTGAATGCTGCCTGTGTTACAAGTGGAAGTTCTTAAAAAACATTCCATGCTAGAGAAAATCTTTACAAAGAAGCAGCATGAAATCATGATTGAAAGGTGATGTGGCAAATGGAAATGGGGATAGGGTTGAACTGAACCCCACAGTCAAGTACAAAGCCAAGCTTGAAAGCCGATGTTAGGGTTAGCTGCTTATTTGCTTCTTTACAGAATATTAAACTTGCACAAAATGTATTTTCCCATTCTGAAAGTTAGCACAATGAAGAGATGGTAAGTAAATAACATCATATTAGTGGTATGCTTGGCAAAGGTATTTTGCTGGAAAACCAACAATCATGGGTTGAATGTGGTTTTGAACAGGTAAAACTGCTCTTTATGCATTTATACTCTCCTTCCACTATCATTGCTGCTCCCTGATGTGCAGAATTTTTAAAAAAAATTTGGATGATGAGAGGTGGGGTGAGGTGGGGCGGGGGGGGGGGGGGAAAAAAACTGA